CCCCAAAACCCCAAAACCCCAAAACCCCAAAACCCCAGCTTTTGAATCAGCTGATATTTTATAGGGCATAAAATAATTCGGACAATAATTTACTTTTTAAACACTATAAATAATTTAAATCGTAAAAAGTAAAATGAACTAAAAAGGATCTAACCCATCAAACTCAAATAGGTAAAGCAATATATCTAATAGAGTTTTGAATTCTTAACTCTATAATTTTAGAGGTTTAGCAGTAGGACCCACAGCAAAAGGACTAAATGGAGGGCCATCAAGAAGAACCGGAGGTATGCTTATATTAAACATATTTTTAGTATTTATAACTCCTTTTTATAGGACTTGGAACTACGACAAAATAAAGAGGCACAAGAGGAGGAACAACAAGTGTATGATATGAAGTAGATTTAATATTTAATAGAATGCAAAGACTGATTTCAACATTGAATATACAGAATGGAATGGAGAAAGAATTATGATTAAACCTAAGGCGTAAGTAACTCATGCCTTGATGAAATTCAAATGTTTATTATTGTATCTATAGTTTGATGAAGACAAGTTCGCATAATTAGGAGGGAAAATTAGACAACTCATAAATTCCAGGTGGAACTAGCAAGGACCCTGCAGCAACAGGAGGAAAAACTGAAGGTGCTGCAGCTAACACCTAAAATAAAGACTAAACTTCATTATCAATGCAATCTAATTTGACATCATCTCTTATGGATACAACTGAAGATGAAGAGGCAAAGAGAAAAGAAGAGGAGAAATTAGCCAAGAAATAAAAGCGTGGTCTAAGTGAAAAAGAAATAGAAGCAAATATTGATATAGATCTTGGTGAAACTGAAACATTTGAATTGCTTTTCATTCCTTCTTCATCAGTATAAAATGATACTGATGAATAAACTATTGTGACTGCTGAAAATAAAAAATATGAGGAATTAAAGACTAATAAAATAGGAAGTGATTCTTATACCGAAAGGGGATCTTAAACTTTGAATTTGACCTAAAAGCCTAAAGAAATACACTTCAAGGGTTTTACTCATGAAAGCAAAGATATACAGGCCACTAATTGGGATATTGATGATGCCTCTAAATAATAAAGATTGAGTGAGGCTAAGAAATAATAGATTGATTATGCAGGCAGTATAACTGGAATTATGACTGAAAAACTTAAAAATCCAAACTGCTTAATTGATGCTGAAGCAGCATCTCATATTTCTATTGTCACTACTAAATCAGATTAGAAAAAGCCAGCTAACTAATCAGGTACAAATTCATCTAACTCAAATAAAAATAAGAATGCAACATCATCATAACTCAAAGAATCTACAAATAAATCTTAAACAAGCGATAAAATGAGCGGGACATCAATGAGTTAAACTTAAACAAATGCTATTACTAGCGAAACTTATGCTGGCGATTTTAATGCAGTTCCCAAAAATGTTGAGTATGTAGAAACAGACTTACCAGAAACAATGATAAAGGCAATCAAGATTATTGAAAGATTACTGACTCAATCTAAATATCACGAATAGCATGTACTTTACAAGAATTATCCACCTGTAAATTTAGGTGATAAACATAGAAAAGCTTATGAAGATGATGAGGAAGAAAATGGAGGTAAAAAGCCATTATTCCCTGGAATTAAAAAGGAGAAGAAGGTTGAGGATGAAAAGAAGGAAGATGAATTAGATTAAGAAAAAGAGAAGGAAGATGAGAATGCTGTAACTTTGAAGCATTTATTTAAGTTTGAATTTGACATCACTGAAGGAAGATAAGTATCATGTATCGATGTAAATGAGGCAAATCCAGACTTGATTGCTGTTGGGTATGGTGAGTTTGACATTGATTGCACAAAATAACTTAAGGAGGGTCTATTGTGCTTCTGGACACTAAAAAATCCAAATTTTCCTGAGAAAATTATTAAAACTGAGCATTCAATTACTACGTGCCAATTTTCAAAGAAATCTCCTCATTTAATAGCTATTGGAGATTCTCATGGAAATATTGCAATTTTTAACATTAAAAATGCAGATTCCAAACCCATAGCAGAGAGTAAGGATCTTGAGGGCAAGCATACTGACATTGTTTGGGAAGTTAAATGGGTTGAAAGAGATGGAAAAGGAGAATCTTTAGTTTCTATCTCAGGAGATGGTAGAGTTATTGAGTGGTCTATGAAAAAAGGACTTGAATTCACTGAGCTTATGTAGCTTAAAAGAGAAACTAATCCAAACTAAAAGGATGTATTTGGAGGAGTAGAAGGTGATAAAAAGGGAGGAATGACTTTTATTAATACTGGAGGTTTGAGTATTGATTTTCCTATTAATGAAAATGGTATGAATTACTTTGCTGCAACTGAAGATTGTACTATTCATAGATGCTCAGTATCATACTCAGAATAATACCTTGGGACATATTATGGACACACAGGACCAATTTATAGGATCAGATGTAATCCATTTTGGGATAGTTAAGAATGCCCAATTTTTATTACATGCTCATATGATTGGACTGTAAGAGTCTGGAACGCAAAAGATGACAATGGTGAAAAGCTAGTTTGCCATGAAATCTTCTCTCTTAAACAATAAGTAAATGATGTTGTTTGGTCTCCACACACCTCATCTGTATTTGCATCAGTAGCCAATGATGGAAGAATTGAAATATGGGACCTTTATAGAGATAATCTAGGCCCTTAAATAACATATTTTGACAAAAATTCTGACGGAGAAGTTATCAATATTCCTAAGACAGTAGTAAGATTTAGTGATAATGCTCCTGTTGTCTTGACTGGTAACTTAAAAGGCTCTGTTGACGTCTATCGTGTTAATGGGCTTGAGCATGTTTAGGTTTCTGAGAAAGATCAAATCAATAGACTTCTGTCTGCTATTCAGAAAGATGATTACTCCGAATAAAAAGGAAAGAAAAAAGATGAAGATGGAGAGGGCTAAGAAGGTGAGGCTTAATGAGAGGAAAAATTAAAGAGTGTTGATAACTCTAAATTACTCAGTTAATATAAGTAATCCGTTTATGGTGATTAATTTGTTTTATTTAAGATTAATTCTTGACTCTTTGTAATTTTGAGTAAAGGGGTTTTGGGGTTTTGGGGTTTTGGGG